CCGTAAATTGATTCCAATCTTCCAATTCATTGACCACTAATTTTCTATTCGTAATTTGATCGTAAGCAAAAGGAAAACATATTAATGGGACACCAAACCAAATACTTTCAAATAACGAATTCCACCCACAATGAGTTAAAAATCCTCCAACTGCGGAATGTGAGAGCACCTCAATCTGGTTGCACCATGGCACTATCATACCTCGATCTTTGATTGAATCTTCAAATCCGACAGGCAAGATATTAGTACCATCCGAACCTATTGTGCCAGGTCGAAGCACCCAAATAAAATTAGCTTCACTAAGCAAAAGGCCATGGGCTATCTCCGCCATATCATGTTCACTAATACTTACCAGGCTACCAAATGCAACATATAAAACTGACCCATGAGGCCTGGTATTAAGCCACTCAGTGCAGTCTGACGCGGCCCTCAGGCTGGTACCCACAGTGCTTTTGGTGAAGCGAGGAGGGAAAATGGGCCCAATTGCATAGATGGGCGACTTCTGATGTAGAGCTGAGATTGTTTCAGATTCAAGTTCTTCCACAGTGTTACATATAACAATATCTGCTTTCTTGACCTCCTCAAATGCTTTGAAAGTTACTCGGTGTACCAGCGTTGTTGTGTCAGTTTCCTGAAGAGTTGATGTCAAGTCCTTGGGTTCTATTGCTTTGACCCGGGTATGTAAGCAATTGTGTCCATGCGATTATCTATTATAATCATGCAAAAATAATCATGTTATCACATATATAATGTACACTTTTACATTTTGTATGAGCATGTCTCCATATATTCATATGTGTCCGTGTATGAATTTAGAATGTCAAAATATAACACAATATTAAATTTGTACCAAGGATTCGTTTATATACCAAGGATCCATAATATGAATTTAATATGATGTCATGATTCGTTAGACACAAATTAATAAATAAAACGAAGGTGTAGAATATCGTTTTATATAAACTCATTAAAATCTAATAAGAATTCATCTCATCCGACCCAACTGGGAGAACTAATATGAACATGCATGTATCTATGTAAGCCATAAACAAATGTGCACAAAGAGAGAGAGATAGTACGAACCATTGGAGGCAAAATGCCCATTTTTTATTAGAAGGTCCAAATGATAGTATAAAGTGAAAATCAAGGCAGGTTGCGTCCAGAATGAAACAATGACAAAGTTATACTTCTTGGCAATTGTTGCTGGCCAGGCATAAAGAGTGTCAGTGACAAGGAAAAAGGCCGACAATGGATGTGACTTAACCATGTTATTCACGAACTCATCTATGTGGGTCGGGAAAACTTGCATGATGGAGTCCCAATACTGCTTCATATTTGAAGATCGGTCGAACTCCAATGGAAGGCCGTCGGTAATCGTCGTGTAACGGATGTCAAGACCAGATTTACGTGCTTCGGAAAAAACTTGGGGTTCAATTGTTTTGTGTGGCTGGGATTTGGTTATCTGGTGGTGGATAAACTCGGTATGGACGAAAGTGATGGTGAAGCCCTTCGAAGCAAGCTTTATTGCTAGGTGCACGAAAGGGGTTATATGACCTTGGAAAGGGAATGAAATCATGATAGCATGAAGTTTTTGGTTACTATCACCCATTTTCTTCTGGGTTTGTGTGAGTGTGTGGGAGAGAGAGAGAGAGAGAGAGAGAGAGGAGAGAGAGAGGCAGGCTTTAATCTACTGGCAATACTGCACAGGATAAGGTAGTTGCTTAAGTTTGGACTGTGGTGGTGAAGGTTGTATCATGGTGAAACATAGAGGCATATTTGATTTGTCCGTCAAAAAATAATATCTTAAAATAATTTTTAAAAAAAATTTTAAAAAAAAATTATATTAAATGAATTTAAAAATTAGACTTGATAATTTCAACCATTGAATAAGTAGTGAGTCCCAATAAATGGTAGAACCTACAGTGAAATCAATAGTTGAGATTATCAAATCTAATTTTTAAGTTCATATAACATTGCTCTTTCAAAAAGTGTAATTTGACTTTTTAAAAAAGTGTAATTTATTTTTTTTTAAGAAGAATTTTAAAAAAGTGTAATTTCACTTTTTCTGAGACAATGAAACTTATTTGATTAAATAATTTTATAGAACAAAAAATAGTAAAATATATTTAGACAACCTAAATATATGTTTAGACAATAGTTTAAAAATTAATAAAAAAATATAAAAAATTATTTTTAGATTGACAGTTTAAAAAAAAATTCAATAAAACCAAACTCTAAAATAAACCAATTTATATATAAATTTTTTATAAATAAAATCAATAAATTGATATATCAATATCAATTTATAACAGAGTCATTTATAAAATCAATAAATCAAAATTCAATAAATTTTTTTCAAAAAAAATAATAAATAACACCATGAATCAATTTATATATAACATAAATAAACCAAATACCAATAAATCTATGTGGATAGAAAAATTGAAAATGGACAAAAAAGTTGAAAAAATAGAACAAATTCCAGAACCCACAATCAACACATATTTGAAAAAAAAAATAACAAAGTAATAAAGAGTTAGATGTAACAAAAACTAGTAAAAAAGAAGAAGATAGATATGATATTAAACTTAAATCTGAAGAAGATCAACCCAGATCTAAAAAATGTCAACACAGATTTGAACTCAGATTTGTAGAAAATCAACCCAAATTTGAAGAAAACCTAACCAAATCTGAACCCAATTGTGTCGACATTGGAATCGACGTTGGAGCCGACACCGGAGCAAACTCAAGTTTGAACCCAGATGTGTGTGTGTGTGTTTCCTTTTGTCTGGTTTTCGCTGAAGCGTTGAGAGAGAAAAACAAAAAAAAAGAGAGAGAAAGCCAAAAAGAAACAGAGAAAGACAATAATTTTTTTTTTATAGTTGAATATGTTTTATTGCTAAGAAAGTTTGAATAAGAGACCTCGTTAATGAAAACTTGGGTTGTTCTCGTGTTTCCCTTCTTTTGTCTCTAAAACACATAAAACAAGTCTATCTTGTTTTTCATTTTTTTTGTTTTTTACATCAATCTTTTCCCAAAAATTGGAGAACCAAAACCCAAACAAAACAAGTTTTTCTTATTTTTTAGAACTTTGAGATCAAAAAACTGTTTTCAAAATTCAAACCAAACATTCTTACATTTTAAAATAGGAAGTAGAAAAGACAATGATACATTAACCAACTAACAACATATAAAAAAAAAGGTCAAATAATAAGTATCATTTTTGGGTCGAAGTTTAAAATGAAATATTGCACGAGTTTTTAAATTTCAATTCGTCAAAATTAAAATGAGTTTTAAAATTTTGCGGCAAATTAATTAAAGGACTACTTAATTAGCACTATCACAATTTTTAGTCAGCATCAACTCATCAAAGTCATGTAGTTTCCATCTTATTATTAAATCCTATTTTTTTTTGTGTATCACTCTATTTGATAATGCCAAAAGAAAAAATGCAAAGGGAGAGGATAAGAGAGATGAGTAAAGATGTGCATACCAATTTTTTTACCAAATGTCGTCTATCAAATGAATCAGGGTAGTATTAATAAGTTCCACAAAAATAAATATAAATAAATCTTAAGCTTCGTATTAATTTGTTAAGTAAAATTTTAAAAATAATTTTGAAGAGTTGCCGTCCACTTTAGACGGAGACAAAGTTGACTGATGGTGCAATTGCGTGTTTGATCAGATCTTTTCCTCGTAGGGGGCGTTCGGGCGGTTGGATTGAATTTTGAAGTCCAATCTCATTCAAATGACTGGCAGACTAATGGGAAAAAAAAAATGTTGTTTTCTAACCCACAGGTGTGGGCCCCATGCATTTGAATGATTGCTAAAGTTACATAAATTTAACTCTAATTTATCATAAAATCTTTTAATTTAAGTCAATTCAAGTTTATGTTAAGGAGAAACACGTTATTTAATAATACAATCTTGTTAGTAGAATTTCAGCTCATTTTCTAAAAGACATACAGTTTTAGAATTTCAAACACCCCGTAAGATCTTTCAAAAGACATACAGTTTGTCATCAATAAGAATGTGACATTTTAATATTAATTGTTAATGGCAACCTTCTCCTTTTTGTCCCCTTTAGTCAAAAATGGTCATCTCCTGGATGATTACAGAAAATAACATTATTTTTATGTGCATTCACCCATATTTTTGTGCAAAACACAAAATTTATAATATTTTTTTATCGTCACCGTCGCCCCTACTCTGACCCCTCTGTCACATGTACCAACTTAGGCCTAACATTATTAAAATATTATTTACTAAGGTACTAAATTGATATTTTTAAAAAATTATAAATGTAAATTAGTTAATAAATAATATGAGAAATTTAAATGTGAAGTAATTATAATCAAGTTGGAAAGTGGTTACATAAGTCACATGTTGAAATTCAATTGGGGTAGACCAATTAAATATTTTTTTCAAAATTATGAAAAATAAGACCAATTTTCCAAGCACTCTATCCCCTAAATTGATTCTTTTAAAATATAATATAGTATAGATAGATGAAGGTATTGAAAACCCCTTACAACAGGACATCTTAAATAATGCATTCAAGGTAAAAGTAAGAAAAATTGCACTATAACGAATTTAGTATCATACTAAAACAAATTAAACAAAAAATTGAGATTTAGTCGAGTCAAACAAAGAAAAGTAATAATTCAATAAGATCCAAATCCTATAGCATTGACAATGATGCCAATCAATTTGATTGAATCGGAACTTGACAATTTTAAATCATAATTTAACCAGATTAAATTTTAAGTTTTTATACAATATTGTTCCCCCTATCTCAAAGTAGTGGTGCACTACCAGGCCCTGTGATGGAGACAACCCACATATCCAAGTATTCAATCTTTCTCATAGTTTCTTTGATATAAGCTGCTTCAAAACTACCTCTAATTCCTATTTTGACAAGAAAAGGAGTCTTTGCCACATGGTTCTGTGTCAATGATAGCTATAATCTTATTTTGATCTAGTTTTTTTTGATATAAATTATCGATTTAACAAAAAGTGGATTAAATTAAAAAATTAGGTCAATCAATTATATATAAACAACATTAGTGGATTGTAGCTCTCCTGCATTTTAGAGCATGTGTTTTCTAATGATACGAGATTAGTCACATGCCAATCTACGACTAACAACACAAGCATAATCTATGACTATACTACAGTAGATTGATTCTGATGGGACGTTTTCGAAGATTGATGAGGAGACAACATGTGTCCTCAACATAGTAACCTCATAGTTTCCATGGAGTGACACGTGTCCTCGACTCGAGTGCCCTCAGAGCGTCCCCTTCTTGACACGTGCCCTTGGCATTTATGTCCCCAGAACATTCTGTGCTTGACACGTGTCCTTGAGACTTATGTCCCTGGAGCATTCCCTGTTTGACATGTGTCCTCGGCACTAATGTCCCCAAAGCGTCATCTGCTTGACCCGTGTCTTTGGCACTTAGGTCCCTAGAGCATTTTCTTCTTGACACGTGTCTTCGACATAAAGCCGTTTGCACTGGCAGAACATTAACAGTTGTTTCGATGATTATTTCCTGCCAAATGATGATGTTAAATTCCCAAAGAAAAAGGGGGAAATCAGTTGATGAAAGCATACCCACGATCAAGATAAAGTATAACATCATTATTTGGGAGTGAGGTTGGCTATCAATCATTAAACACCTTTCCCAAGACAGTAAAATGGTTGGAAAGATAGTTTAGCAACCAATGAGGAAGGAGTATGGAGTACAAGACATGCATTCTTGTCCCTTTAGGGGATGATGGACGAAAACACCCTTGTGTATGTGCAACCACAACCGGAGCATATTAAATGACCCCACAAAAGGGTGGGACATATTTATTGCTCAGCCAAGTCAGAAAAGCGAACATTAAATGCTCGGGGATCTAAGTATTAAATGCAGAAGTCGTTGCCACGTGAAGGGGAAGACACTCTGCCTAAGATTTGTGCACCACATGTTGTCTTCCAAGTGAGCCAATCAGGGGTCCTTCTCGCCAAGGAACCCAGTCATCCGCCATGATTAGCCCCTAAGAGGTATAAGTAGCATTCTCAAGCTCAAGTCCATGGTATGCAACCCCTTACCCAAGTAATAGAATAGTGTTTTTCCAACTCTCTATAAAATACTGACTTGATCGTCGGAGGGGTCACACAAGAAGACACTCTGATGTCCTTCTAACCCCTCTTTTTGAGTGATAGGATCTTGTTCGAGAAATCAGGAGTGAATAGATTATGTGTAGAGAGTTCCATCACCGTTCATTGCATTCCACTCGATGAAGGACATTCAACTTCCCAAGCAAGTTCGAGCTCACCAGGGGAGAGATATGTCATTTTATTCATTATGCTAGAATCATCCCGCACAATTTGGCGTCGTTTGTGGGAAAACGACCAAGTTTTCTAGTGAATGACCATGGTAAACACGCGCTTGAAAGGAAAGGGCCCTTAACAAATGAATATAGACATACCAGCTCCTTCCACATATAGAACGGAGGATCAAGTCAAAAGTTTCAACAAGGAACTTTCAATCCACTCTAGGTAAAGAACCCACCAAACTAAACTGAGTCTTAGGGGTGAAAGGGAAGGGCCCCTTGCCCATC